CCTCCTCGGCGCTGAACGGGGAAAAATTCTAGCCGGGGCCCGAACTTTCTTTGCGAGCCCCCTGTGTGGTTCCGCTCCCGAGCACTCCCGCAGATAGTGTGCACCACACACACCTCACAGCAGAGCTCGACCAACTAATACATGCTCCGACAGCTGCAGAAGTATCGCGGCCAGGCTTCCTATAACGTTAAAAAGTGCCTTGTCTGTACGTTTTCTGGCACTGGTTGTTGCTTGCGTATTTATTTTATTACTATTCCAACCATCCAAATCGAACCTTCTGACGCGGGTTTCCACCAATTACAACGAACCTTTACTGGTGGTTTGCAACCGTCCTCTTTTTCAAGGAAGGTTTAAATTAAAAAAAAACGGGACGCGAAGATCTGGTTTGATCGGCCAGTCAAAGGTGCTTTCCAACCGTGATAACCACTAATAGGGAGTTTAAAAGACACCATGTATTTGTATTTGCAGAGTCTTTTACTTTTTTGTGGGTATAAAGCCAGGTGCGCTAACTTAGCAGCCTACATTGGTGAGAATGTAGCTACAATACCGCATGAAATTGTCGTGTAACAGGTAAATTTGCTTCAAATCAGTGATGGCCAAAGATACATTGCAGGTATTGGTACTGTTTGCAATATTGAGAAATACTTTATTGCAAGCGCTATGGGGTATTGCAATACATATTGCGGCAACGCTGGGAACTGCAGTACATATTTTCCAGCGATTTCGGCGATCCCTTTTAAAGTCGGTTCCCAAAGGTTGCAGTTTTTGCGCGTCAAGTCTTTTGGCGCGAACTCAGAGGCCCATCGTCTGGCCAGCAGCGTTCGCGTCTTCAAAATGGGCGCGAATTTGACCGCTCCACCACCAGCCAGCTCTCATTCTGCTTTTTGCAGCCTTCCCTGCGGACGCCATGGCCCTCCAGTCCAGCCCGCTTTCTATCGACCGCATTCCCGCAGACGTCCGCTTCTACTACGACATATCGGTCGTCGACGGCGAGGTCTCGTACCAGTGCCGAAAGTGCCCCGCCAGACCAAAACAGGCTTGGAAGTCCGGATACTTGAACTTGCGGAAGCATTTAACGAGCTGCGTTGGCGCAGATTACGTGGCGAGATACGAGCAGAGTGTTCGTGATCAACCTAATCCTCTTGGATTTGACCGAGAGCAGTTTCTGTCGGCGAAGGAGCTGAGTGTGTTTCGCTGGCTGGAGTGGGTTATAATGCGCGACATGCCCCTGTCCGAGGTGGATAACTTGTTGACGAGAGGCATCTCTAAGCTGGATCATGTGTGCAGTAACAGTCTCATGCTCTACATCACTCGACTGGCTGCTCTAGTTGAAGAAATCATTCGTGAAAAACTCCCTGAACACTACGGCATCATGTTTGACGGGTGGTCAGACGGACCTTCACAAGCGAAGGCAGCACATTGGTGATGTGCAGGGCTTTTTTCAGGAGATGACTCAAGACTACCCCGAACTGAAAGACTACCTCGCATCCGATGCGAATATCGCCCATTCGCCTCTCTTTGAGTCAGAAGTCGTGAAGATTTTGGACGGTAAGAAAGACAGTCTGATGCTTGAAGAACGAGCGCTGGCAAAGCGCTTCGTTGTGCATCAGCCACAACAGGAGCAATCAGGATCAACCAAACGCGCCAACTACGCCGACAGCCTCCGCGCAAGGAAGCGACAGCGCCTGAAGCAATCTGATGAGTACGTTGATCTGCGGTTCATTGCAGGGACGTCTGTGTCAGCGGAGCGGCTGTTCAGCAGCGCAAAACACGCTTTTCGTTTCACCAGAAAGCGGCTGACACCCGTCAACTTCGAGAAAATCTTGTTCCTCAAGCATAATCGTTTTCTTTGGAACGCCACCATGGTAGCTCAGGCGATGAAGGATGCCGGTGGCAGCAGCAGCAAGGCTGGTACGCAGGATTAGTACTGCAATAGTACTGCAAACTCGCCGAGTATTGCAATACTTACTGGAGACAAGAGGGGTAGTTGCCGTAGATATTGTTTGCGCTTAATGTTTTTACAATGCCCCGCAATGTATTTTTGGCCATCACTGCTTCAAATTTAGTTCCCCTTTGTAGCGCGTAGTGTTCGTGATGCAACGGCCTTAAGGAGCGGACTTGCGCTGGTAGCATGGCTACAGATATCTTTTTCAAGCGAGCGATGATCTCGTAGACGACGAAGAAGACTCTGATCGTGGTGGAATTAATGTAGACACCATCATCCAGTCGAGTAACAGCGGACAAACCTTACGAAATCAAGTTGTCGCGCGGGAAACGAGTGTGGCTGGTACGGAAAATGCTGCAGCTCCTCGTCGTGTAGACACAACGGAGAATAACCACGACACATTAGATGCTACGAGGTTACATGATGTGGAACACACAGGGGTACAGAGTACCCGGACCTTTTAGCAAACCCTCAGTACATAAGTAGGAGAGTTAACAGGATCTCTTAGTACGTCGGCTGAAAGGTACACGTTATGCATTGATTAAGTTTAACTATAATAGATAGTTAAACAGATACATTTCCCCCTAGGCGGTTTGGTCGCAATAATAGAAAATAAAACACTTCTGGTTTTGGAGCATAAAGTTTACAGTACTAAATTTGAGCCCAGGTCGTGGGCGGTAAATGTCCTTTGGATAAGGAACTTAGTATTAGTGACTCTTTGAGCCAAACGTCTTCCTCTGACGCTAAAGCTACGGCAGCCCTACTGCACTTGATAGCACTTGTACTCATCAAAAATCCCCCTCCTGAGTCGGTTGACTATATTCTCTGCGAGGATGGAACACCCCGTGTTCGCGAATTTGACCCCGGCGCCGCAGGACGCACTTACTAAGCTCATGTCCTTGCTTGGCCCGAAGGGCGTGGCTCATCTTAAGTCGCAAGGTCCAGAGGCGGCCACCACTAGGCTGGAGCCGATCTCACGCTACGAGAACGCGCTCTTGGAGCACATCCAAGCGAAGATGAGCGCCGCAACGGCGGCGTCGTCAATGAAGCGTGGAGAATCTATGAGGCTGAAACCGCTCATGGTGAGCGTAAAACCTTCGTGGGGAAGGATGGAAAGAATCTCCTTCTCTGTACCGGTGACGTCGCGATGGCCATGGGATCGGGTTGCTCCAGTCTGAGCATCGGCGCGTGGCGCTCGCTATCTTCAGGCTTGGAGATCGCGCCCGCCAGTGGGCACTCCCGTGCGGTACGCCTGCTGACGCTACATTTCCCACTTGGTATCAGCTAAAGCAACGGCTTTCGCGCGTGTTCGCGCCGCCTAATCAGGTGTACTGTATCCGGTCGAAGTTCCTTGCTACCCGACGGGGTAAGAAGGGGTTATTGAACTATGCCCAAGAGTTGAGAGCTCTCATCGCCGGAATGGCAGCAGACCCGCTACCGGAACTATTCAGCTTGACCGTGTTTATTGCGGAACTTCGTGTGAGTGCAGCTCGAACGAGAGTATTCCGTGTACACCCTAACCTTTTCGGAGAGGCGGTGGATGTGGCATTAAATGCCGAGCACAACTTCAGACCGGCCCGACGTGGCTGGAGCGCTGGTGGCGCGAGCTCTTCGAGCGGGCCGGAGCCGATGGACCTCAGCTATGCTGAAGATGAAGAAGCGGAGCTTCTTGCTGCGGAGCAGCGCGCCGGCATCCGCCGATGCTTTGTGTGCAATAGCACTAAGCACTTGAGGGCCTATTGCCCGCTGCGCAAGAAGCGCGAGGCTCCGGCGAGCCAGCCCTCCGGGTCATCGCCGGGAAACGGCAAATCCCAGTAGGCGCGGGGCGGCCTACTGGGGAAGAACTGAGTTCTGTTGTGCCTCGAAGAGGTAGAGGGCAACGGGGCTCAGCCCCGAAGAGATCTGAGCTCTCTTACGAGAAGAGTGTGTGCAAGCCGGGCTTGCTGGTCGTTCAAGCGAACGTGAAGGGCTTTGCAAAGCCATGGAGAGTCTTGATTGACTCAGGATCCTCGGGCAAGTACGCATGTCGCTCCACCCTGGAAGGGAGTCAGCTGTATGCTGAGGCACTGGAAGTGCCAACGAGAGGTACGATCTCTATCCGTCTCGCGACGGGGACACTGGTAGCTGTGTCGCAGGTTTCTGTTGACCTTGGAGTGAGGTCTGAGAACTTCGATAGCGTGGACCGCTGTTTGGGCTTAGACCTGGAGCGAGGTAAGATCTCATCCTTGGCACAACATGGCTGGTACGCCGTGAGCCATGGATCGATTGGACGTCAAAAACGCTGGGTGCGTTGCACCCTGCTCCTAGTGGAGCTTTGGTGAGACATGAGCCCACCTCTGCTAGGAAGTAGAAGCGCTTTACGCGCGAGCACGAGGCCGAGGAAGCCGTAGTGCTGAACATTGATATGTCATAAATTTGTTAGTAACAAGGTTGCTGGTTGCCCTGAGGGCATACGTAGTGCGGCAAGTCATCCGCTGAGCGGTGCAGATCAGGTCAATGACTTCCTGGTAAGGACGAACGCGGAGTGGCACGCAATCCACTGAGAGGTACGAATCTTTTCCATGACCTACCCCTGGATGCGAAAAGCTGACCTCGACTCGTAAACAAAGTCAGCAACAAGCTTGTGAAGCTGAGCTTGGGAAATAAAGGCATATTGAGATGGCTGTCCAGCTACGTCTTTTCCGTCTAGCTGGACGCCTCTCTGTCGGCTCCTTTTCCGGGTCTCTTTCCCCTTACGCTCACTGGCAAATCGTTTTTTGCTTCTTCTTCTCCATCAATATGTAATCCTGGCAGTACATCAAGTTGTAACGAGTCGCTAACTCCACTCGCTGAGTTTAGTTCGTCCAGTGCTGATGAACGTCCAAGATCCGGATGGTCATCGGTCGACAACTGTTGTCTCCCGCGCCGGTGTGAGCCCGACTGGCTGCGCCACCTATTTTATTTATCAATCAATTCAGACTACTTCTGACTGTCACCTCTGTGTACGTTTGCTTCCTTCGTACGTCCAAGCTTTCGGCGTCGCCTGCCTGACTTTAGGAGCTCCGCCTGTCCGTTGACAGCGCCCCACACCAGACTGACTCGGGTCGTTACCCTTTCCGTCTACTCGTCGTCCGCGCTCTGCCGCTGCACACTTCAGCCGCTATCGTTCGTAGTCCACGTGCAGTCGTCCAGCAGCGCCGTCGCACCACTAGAGACCGGCTCGTCCGTGTTCACAAAGCTTCCGCTCGTTCACGCGGAGACGCAGCTCTCACCGTTACCGCCTGTTGGTTAGCCAACAGATCCCTAACTGATGTCGCTGTCTGCGTGCTCGACGGCAAATTTTCTACTGCTGCTGCTTCTCCGCCGCCTTGCTCGCACCATTCGCCCGAGATCTTTCTAAGCTGCCCCCGACCGCCCGTTCAGCACGATCTCCGTGGGGCGCCCTTTGACCGTTGCTTGACCAGTCGCTGTAACTCTTTGTTTCTTCGTCGTTCGAGTCCGTCCAGCTGCCACCGTCTGTTAGGAAACCTGACGCATCTGCCACCCTGTTACAAAGTGGTTTTCCAGTTTGTGTGCTTTCGGGTTGGATATCTCTGTTAAACATCGAAGATATTTGACTCGGCCATTTTTGCTCGCCTCGCTGAAGAGCGTCCAGAGGCTGGACGATTGACGGCCTACAGTCATCGTTATTATTCAAGCTGCGCGGACATTAGCTCCTCCTGTAGGCCAGATCATCACTGCACTTACCGCCAGAGGTTGGAGAATAAAATAAGCTATTATATTTTCGTTTTAAAGCTAAGTCATATCCCTGTTGATGCCGGAATTTTACTTGGATTTTGTATGGTATATGTCCCACAGTAAAATGTATATATGCTGGACTCTACTCCGCACCCCGCAGCATATTTTATCATTTTGCCTTGGGTTTTTTTAATAATTATTGCGATTATTGTAGTAAAGCCAATCAATATGCTTGGTTTTACATGATTCGTTCAAAATAAAACCCTCACATTTTGATTGAGTAAAAAGCGTAAAACCAAGCAGATTGCAGGGTTTTAGTATACATTACAAAACAGGACTAATCAAGAATATGGTATTGTGCGTTCTATTCGAAATTTCCGCGGAGACACGACCAGCCCACAATCTTGTGGCCTATCATACAGAATGCATTTTGACGTTAATAAAGAATAAACCTCTGGCTGGACATCTTCATTCATGACAAGTGCGTGCACTCCGGGGATGACTCTGCGTTTTCCGCTCTCGCGGGGCCATGCACCACGTGCATCTCCATATCGTCCGCCAAGTCGAGCATCATTCGATCCACCTCAAAAGGAGGCTCCAGGGACACCAGGCGCACGGGAAATCTCGGGGCTTGTGGATGATTATGTTGATGCAACAGCACCAAATTCTGTTTCGGTGAACCATTTAGCCACAGGGCTGACAGAAGATGCTGCAGCGGCAGCGCCGGCAGCGACAGCACCCCCTGACAATCGTTATCAACTACTCGTGCGGCCCATTGTGAAGACGTCCATTAATCAGCGTGAATTATCAGCTGAAACACTGCGTGAAGCTGGATTTTAATGAACGGTCATTCAACTCTATTATGGAGGCTGTTTGGGAAATTTTATCTGGTCGAGTGAAGAAGCATACAGTCAAGACTGACGGTGTATGGAGTATGAAGACTCCTCAGGTCGCAGAGTGGGCTAAACTTGTGCAGTTCAAGGTGAAGAAATGTGTAGTAGACTCGACCAAGTCTCGTCAGGCATGGAACCAGTGGCTTGTGGTAACGCAAGGAACAGCGGTGACGCTCATGATTTATGAGTATGGCATGGCCATTGCGTCGGCAAAAGATCGGGACGAGTTCATGAAGGCATGCATTTTGCCCGAGAAGATGGATAGCTGCAGCAGAGTCTTCAGTGCGAGATGCGCTGTCACTTCAACTCCAACGTGTATATGAGACAACGTCAAACAAAATGATACTTACGAACCATTTAGAGTTATCGAGATAATCGAGCTTAAAGTTGGCCAATTGATTTTCGCACTTAACCGAAACAGTGAAATTTATTGTAAACTTCCATCGAAAAATCTGTAAAACTACCCTTATTCAATTGCTTTTAACAAGAGCTCTTAAATAACACTTAAATCTCTAAAATTAAAAAAAATATTGAGCTCACAACACTTCTAAATGTATCGTCATTTCGAGGGCACATAAATGAAGATAATATTTTTGAGCGACCACAACTTCTTCAGTTTTAAGCATTGTGCAGCTTATAAGGGCTCAAAAGATAGAGGAGACGCCCCGCTTTAGTTTAGAGTGCTTAAATCGCGATTCGTACTTAGGTTCATAAGTATCATTTCGTTTTGGGTTGTCTCATATGGCATCTCATTAGATAATAAAACATTTTGGCCAATAAGACCGAGCCTTAGGCTCGGTCTTATATCTGCCCACAATAGCGGACTTCCAACCCGGTGTTATAGACAGGTGGCTCGTGTCGGCGGTGTGTGCTGCTGTGGAATATAGTTGAGATGAGCGGGATTTGTGTATCCCAAGACCGTGCCACACAACGTCCCAGTGGGACGAGAAGGGGTGTCAACCCTACAGGTCATCCCAATATCCCGCGAACTAGATCGCTGATTGGTCCATCCCTCTTTTGGGACGATATAAGACTGAGCCTTAGGCGTTTGCTTAAATCGTCCCGCTTCGGCAAATTGGGGCGGAATTGACAATACTGCTGCAATAAATACATGTACATTAGCCGACTTTGAGTTTTACCTAAATTCTATAAGTCATTAAGTATTGCAGAATATTTCGGTAATGTATTTTTCTTACGCGTGTATTTACGTGGTTCCAAGTTCACAATCATTTTTTTTAACTGTAACATGCCAAGCTCAGAGCCTCTCGTGGTGGGCGTAATTTTTCCGGCCAAGAAGATCGCCCGGCTACAGGAGGTCCTGAACGTGGAGGAGGATGGCGTGCGCTTCGTTCTGATCGACTTAGAGGCTGCAACGCCAACAGGTGCATCCGTGACGGATCCCGAACTGGAGGCCGCAGCCCAGCGCTTCGCAGCTCGCAATGGGCCGCTGGACGCACTGCTGCACAAACTAGCGCATGATATGGTGTTCGCGGGACTGGGGGATCAGTCCGCTGCCAATCGCGTGCAGTTGGTACAGCTTTTCTTGCAACGTCACCCATCCGTGCGTGTGGTAGACCCCATCGACAGCGTTCGGCTGCTGACGGACCGCCACGCAGTATGCAAAAGACTAAAAAGCATGGAACAGAATGGAGATTCGCGGACGCAAAGCTTCAAGGTGCCCAGCTTCTACGAGGTGGGGACGACCGCACAGTTCCAGAAGTTACAGGAGGAGGTGGACACTGGACACTCGAGACTACCGCTCATCTGCAAGTCCGTCGAGGCCTGTGGTGCGTTGATCGGAGTGACCCCTTGAGCTGAAATTTTGAGGTCTAACGAGGCTGTTTGTTTCTTCTTTGCATTGACGCTGCAGCGACAGAACGTTCACACATGATGAGTGTCATCACCAAGCGCGAAGATTTGCACCATGTCGAATACCCAGTGCTTTATCAGGTGGTCGATCTACTGGGATTCAATTAGGGGTATGATCATTCTCTGACTGATTTTTGATGTCGCAGGAGTTCATCAACCACTCTGGTCGCCTCTTTAAAGGTTACGTGCTTGGCGACGTCATCAATGTGGCGGAGCGACGCTCACTGCCCAACCTCGTGGCCGGAACTGCTCAACACGTGCACTTCGACACCCAGCAGAACTACCCTACGAGCAAAGATTTTCACCCTCATGTCGACGACAGCGCGCCACCAGAAGAAGTTGTCGGCAGGCGAACACAGGAAGAAATTTTCAGGGCGGTGCGCGCGATCGGCGAACATCTTCGTGAAGAGCTGAAACTGACGCTGTTTGGCTTCGACGTCATTGTGGCAGACGATGGCTTGCATGAGCTCTATGTGATTGATGTCAACTACTTCCCGTCTTACAGAGAGCTGGACGATCTGGGCTCCGTGCTCAGGAAGCACATCAAACAGCAGTGCGGTCGCCAGTGAGGCCATATGTGTCCGCTAAACGCGTCGACTTGCATGTATAAAGTATTGGATGGAAGAAGGACCAGCAATTCGTTATTCCGTACAAAATTACATTTGCTATAATACCGCCCTCGTCCTCTTCCATTTCAGCTTAACCACGTGCGAGAGTTGAAGGTGAGTTATCAATTGCGCGTGCGTGTCGCTCAGGAAGGACTTTCGGGTCCTAAGCTTAGCTAAACTTCTGCCATAGCACGAGATTGAGTAAAAAATAGCGTCCTGCAACATGTCGATCGAGCGCCAGGTCTTGTTAGTGCTGTAGCACACAAATTTTTCCTTGGTGGCCATTAAAAGGCTCAGGAAGAGGTTCTTGCGATAGTGTTGCTGTGTCTGGCGGCGGTGTGTAAATGTGCCTGGCGGTTGACTTTGGCTGCTACGTGCGCGCGTCGTACAGAGGCGCCACTCATGTAGCACTCAGTCTTGATCATCGGTACGGTGTTCATGAAACAGTGTTAGATGAGTTACTCTGGTGCCGTCTGCAATATGAACACGTACACTACATGTACAGAATCGTAATCAGACACCGACACCTCATGCTTGTAATGCAGAGCGAGCGCTCAAAAGCTACGCGGTTACGCAGATAAAATATCAGCATCACGGTGATGCTGATGGCATCACTTCTAAATATTTTCTGCACAACCACTAAAGGAAGGCGGGTGCAAGACGTTAGCTATAGACCTTTTAGCAAAATAGTGATGTGAGGACATATTCTCTAAGTGCTTGAAACGCTTTGTGCAAATTGCACGAAGAATCATTTAAAAAGTTGCTTTTTGAGGTTTTATCGTTTGTTCTGTATGCCTGACAATTTTGCATTGGGGAAATTCTTCGTTCATTCTCCACAAACAAAACGTATGCATTTTGGAGTGCATATTTTAGTATTAATGCTCTGCCGCCTTTCTAAATATTTTCTTACACAAATGAGATGGATGAATTACTTTTACTGATATGTTGTCAAAACACTGAAAACTGTATTCAGATTGATTGGTTGAGGTGCTCTGTTTTGGTGTTCCCTTCGAGTCCGTGAAAGCCATCGCCTTCGTGAGGGAGCCATAGTGCTACGTTGATTTAGGAGTTTAGAAAATGATACTATAAATAATTACCGAGCACAAGTTCAGTTTTCGCAAGGTACTTGTGTTTTCTGCAAGCTACTAAAAATATTAGCAAGGGAGAATACGCTCGATTAATCAATTACTCGATAATCTCAAACTATGGAGTTCTGCATTGGCTACCAGAAAACTTTTGCTACTTAAATCCCGCCAGGGTGCTTCTTCAGCGAAGCTGCAAGGAACAGATTGTACTTCTGCTTATTTTTACTTCGAGGATCTGTGCGACGACCCTTTTTGATACCGTACTTCTCCGCGATCTGTCCACGCGTAAGTCCTTTCCCCACCCACTCTGCCGCCCTCGCGCTCCACTTATTAACCCACTCCTGAGAACGTGTCCTCTCTTCCTCCTCGTTAATATACGCAAAATCTTTCGCTCCCTCTTCGACGGCTTCGGATGTGTGAACACGCAGGAAACGTTGATCGCTTCCGATGTTAGCTGGCTCAATCTGTTTGTCGATGTCTGTAGTGGCCATCTCTGAATGTTTAGTGGGGCGGACGGCTTTGGCGCTTGCAAAGAGTAGAACAGTCGAAACTAACACGAAGAAGCTACTGGCAGTCCTCATGCGTATTCTTGGGGAAAAGGGACAAATCCAGATTTTGGCAAAGCGCAAATTGAATAGTGAGCTGCTCAAACGCGAAAAAAAAATGTTTGAGTATATCTATCTTTGTCAGCGGATGCATTTAATTCATATTCTGGATGAACTGCTCCAGTTCTGAATCAGAACTTCTGATTGAGTTGCACAGAAAAATAGTACTTCTGTAAGTCAACATTTTACCAATGTTGACGTTTTCTCCGCTAATCTTCCTACAAGTTCAATTTTTAGCTTTTTTTTGTACTAATCCTGTGCGTAGGATGTTGACGTTTTCTCCGCTAATCTTCCTACAAGTTTGATTTGCTCACTAATCCTGTGCGTAGGAAACTCTGACTACGAAATCGGATGCTTTTGAGATGCAAAAGTGTAAGTCAACATTTTGCTGATGTTGACGTGTTCTCCGCTTAGTTTACTACGATTACATACAAAGTCCTAGATACCGCCTACGTTTCTACGACAAAAGCGATCCGGTTTCGTAGCCAGAGTTCCTACGCACAGGATAAGTAAAAAAAATGGAGCAATTAATAGTAGGAAAATTAGCGTCAACATTGGCAAAATGTTGATTCACAAAAGTACTGTTTTATCTAGTGCACAGGATTATAATGGTGAAAAACTCGGACTACCGTGGATATTTAGCAAACTCAACCAGACCAAGCATGGCCAGCCCCGATGCCAACTCCAACCACATCAGGAGCTCACACCATTGAGGCCAGAGTCCCAAACGCCGACGACACGAAGTGACCAGCGCCAGCTCTCGATGCCGTCAACCACTAGAGGGGCCAAACTAAAGATGGCCATTTCCAGGGAGGGCCATTTGTAAAAAAAGGGATGTAATCAGTGTTATGTGCATTAAAGCCAGAAAGAAAAACACATGAAATTTTCTTTTGCCGTCGCTGCATCAAACTCAAAATGTTTTAAAATCGTGTCCGTTGCATCCCACCGTGTCCGTTGCAGATTCACTTAAAATCCACTGTGTGTGACACCATACAAAAATCAAGTTGTTTAGAGGTGTGTCCGCTGCAAATAGGCGTCTCCGTTGCATTTTCAAAATGGCGCCCAAGCCAACACTCCCTGCCTGCGGCTACCTAGTAGCATACCTCGGATTGTCTACGGATATGCTTAATGCCCTACTGGATGAAGCGAAAACCCGCACGTACACCCCCGTTTTCAAGGACTTGCGTGATGATAATTACGAGACACACCGCGAAGAGTCCCGTGTTCACGCTCGGTCTCCTTCTATCGGTTTACTGCGAGTAGCCATTAGCGCTGTGACTGCTTGTCTGGACCCGGCGTGGCTTCCTACAGTCTTCTTCTTTCTGCGCTCAACGCCAGGAAGAGAGGAGCAAGAAGCGCATCAAGACTATTTTGAATCTGTCATCACTGAAGATTCCAAGAACAAGTCTACGCGTGTCCCGGCAAGTATGGTTCTCGCTTTGGAGGAAGGAACAAGTCTACGAGTCTACGATGTACTAGGAATCCTGAAGCAGCCGAGAACGAAGAGACCAGACGCCGGACGGACAACAAGGAAGGAGAATGGACGTGTCCCCTTTGTTTGAAGACGTTCACTAAGAGTGGATCACTGAGATCTCACACTTATCGGGGATGCAACAAGAAGCGTAAGGCAGATTAAAACAGCATTCCATGATAATTTTCAATGATGAATGGGCGCTTTGTTGAATTATAACGATAGTAATTAAGAAAGTTAAACTAACAAACACTTGCTATTTAACTCCATCTTGCATATCCCCAGAATCGCGGAGGCACAATACTCGTATGGAAAACCTAGGGATCTTGTACATCCGCCACGGGGAGAGTTGATACAGGATTGAGAACAGACACTGTTGTCTCTGCGTTTTGATACCGATCACGACTTGATGCTGGGGGTGAAGCTGGGCTGTTAAGGTCTACCCTCTCAAAAAATACTGGATCTCTTCGTGTGTTGTAAGGAAGAGTGGTGCTTCTCCTAGACCGACGTCGTTGTCGCCTACTCATTGATTCTTCTTCGTTGAACGCTGGTTCTTGAATTCGAGGTTGAAAGGTAGTAGCTTGCTCACGATTAATCCACCAGTGCAAATCGAAATCACTAGGTTGTAAAATTCGCTCTCCATTATAGGCGGTGATCTCCATGAGTTCATGAATGCAAGGGAGTTCATGCACAGCTCGGTATACGCCAGAACATTCACTACGATCCAGTCTATTAAAGACGATTGCACGTGCATCATCCCACAGCGCGTGCGTTTTAGTAAGAGCCCACACTGAAATTACGCGAACAACCGCTGCAAATCGATTGCCTTGGAGAAGATATGGAACTCGTACGGAGTTCCGTTGAGCCAGAAGTCGAGTTGAAGATGCTGCAGAGTTCCACCAAGGCAGCAAACTCTTATACACTGTCAACAAGTCGCCATTACATCCACCCATCCAAGTTTTACACTTAGCGTGCGTTCCTTCGACGAATGAAGTGTCTCTGATACCAAAGTGTTGGTACTAATCCGGTAGCCAGCATTGGGCAACAGGTAGCACCGTGTTAAATCCGGTCATAGTGATGATGTTCAACAAAGGAAGCTTGTATTTGCTGGTCTTGTATGTACAATCCATTCCAACGACATCACAGTGAAGTCGGTACTGTTCCAGCGTACCCGGATGAGCCCAGAACAAATAAAGGACCCTTTGTGTTTCAAAATCCACCTCATATCGGTAGTAAAATTTATCTGACTCCAGCCGATTAAACAGAGCTTCCATAACGGTCTTGGTGGAGAGTTCGTGTCGACGAGAATTGCTTCTCATGTTTGCGATATCTTGTGGAAATACAAAAGAACCAGGGTCTGCGTCAATCAAACTGGCATGCACCCTTGCAGTTGTAATTCCAACAGCAGTTTGAGAACCGATGATATCTTGTAGCGAAGCTGTCGGTAGCGCACTAGTGGAAGCTGCGGCCCGTTGACGATGACCTGGATGAACTCTGGCGTCTTCTGACGGTGGATGGTTTTGAAGACGACTTCCGCTCCTCGTGTGTACAATTTTCCATTCCCCAGTAGGGTCAGACTTGTCCACGGCTTGGAGTATTATCTTCATCGGACAACCAATACGCATGGAACCTCGCGTGGGGCGCTTTCGGTCTTCATCTTTAAGATGCTGCGTACCCTTTGGCTTGCCACCTCGATCACAATCGAAACCACGTTTCCAAACTGCATCCCCTGCCGTCGCCGAAGTAAAGGCACACCTCTTGGTCACATTAAAACCATGATTCTTGGTCCAGTCATGCAGAGCTGCAATGGCGGCATCCTCTGATGAGTACGTATCCTCAGGCGGAGGGTTTTTTTCCACAGAAATTCCACTTGCACACATAGACCTTGTCTCCACACGAGTATTTCTCGGCTCGCTATCCATAGCAACTTGAGATTCAGTCGGAGTACCAAGCCCAGGGTCGTCTCCTGCGTTCGCTTGGTCTTCCACCAAAGGCGGCAGGTCACTAAGCGCTTCTGAGAGGGCGGAAACCGAAGGGCACGTATACTCACACGTTGGCGAAAATCTTGGACTGCTGACAGTCGAGGACACAGCGTTGAGCAGAGATGCTCGATCCATTTTGGATGTCGAAGTAGAGGCTTGATGAGTTAGGCTGAGAACTATCTTACTAGTTGGAGTATGTGGAAATGAGCTTACTCCACACTCCAGACGTGGACAGGAAGAAGGCTACACGCTCGGCTTCGTTTGTGCGATACAGTTAAATAACTTGGGCTCTCGTCTTCATCAATATCTCCCACCAAATAATTGTATTCGCATGCTATCTCGTCTACCCGGGCAAGAACATTGTGGTATAAATTCCATCCATATCTATCCTCTGCAACGGACACGGTGGGATGCAACGGACACGGTCATTTGTAACTTGATTTAAGTAAAGAAGAACAGTCGACCCAAAAGGGCTCGCCCTGCAACGGACACGCAAAAATGCAACGGACACGTTTAAATCATCTTGGTTTCAGTATTGAAAAATTGCCTGTATTTTTTTAATTGATTACATCCCTTTTTTTACAGATGGCCCTCCCTAGAAATGGCCCTCTTTAGTTTGGCCCCCACTAGAGCCAACAGCATCTCCCCGGCGTCAGTAACTAGATTTAGCAGCAGATCGGCATCTCGGTCCCGCCAATAATCCTGGTGGCATCTCGACAAAAACCAGCAGCAGCAATACCGAAACGCCGACCCCGCTCAGCTGCAGTCCTTTTACAGGCGTGTTCCCAGTGACTATCGTACGCAACAGCATCTCGATGCCCGTGACAAGTATTGCATCTCGACGCCCGTGACCAGCACGGCCAACAGCATTGCTACGGCCAGTATGGCCAGGCTCAGCAGTACCAGCGGCATCTTTACGACGACCTCGCTGGTCAGAACGTCCAATTATTGGTCGGATTTATATTTTTTCAGTCGTCTACATGTAATCAAAAACAAACTAAATAAGGGTATTAAGAAATGATACGAAATATATCACCACAAAGTATTGCCTTCGAAATCTGAAATTTTCAGGTTTTAAGATTCGTTAAAGCAAGACTTACAAGGCTAAGAAAATGAACTAAGAAAATTCAACCAATAAGCACCTAAAAACAAATCCGTGTTTTCGCCTCACTTCTTTGAAAAACAATATTCGCATGTGCGGCTCTCTTTCAACAGACTGCAAGCAGCTCATAACAATTAGTCAGCTTAATTGTGGGCTTATTTAACGCAAATCGAAGCGATCTAAAGAAAAGTATACGTAGGAAAGGATGCGAAATAATATATATAAAGCATCAATGCATTTCCTGCGCAGCCGCAGCATCTGCTTGCTTGTGCCGCTACACGAAAATATTTCCCTTTTTGCAACGAAGGAAAAAGAGACTGCTGCTTTTAACTACTACATGGCTACCCAAACGCATCGGGTTGTCCGACGTGTTGGAGGAGGACGACGCTGAACTCAAGTGGTGATGCATGATGTATCAGCT